TAATGTGCAGGTTTGTCTATCACCTGGGATATGGATTTTATGGTATAGAGACGTGTTTACTATATAGGATATAATATATCCAGTTATATTATAACTGAGATTGTTGACGTTACGTTCGTTTTTCGACGTCGATTTAATTCTTTTTGTTGCATCTGGGCATGCAAGGCAAATAAAATTAGATACAATAAAGGACCGATAAAAGTTTTCAGGATGTGTTGGGAATTTCTAACGCCAATAAATTGCAATGGCTACGATATTTTGCTGCACTTTTGCGAACTTGGAACGAGAACTAAAATTTTTAGTCAAATTGTCTGTACTTTTATTTACAACGAAAACATTTGCTAACTGCTTACAAGATCTCCAAACAGAGTAACATGATAATTGTATGGAAAAAGAATTCGTACAATGTTTAAAAAAAAGTATCATATTTGTAAATTTTTAAGAATTACTTTCATGAAAGAAAATTTGTAGTGTAAGTTGTAGAGAACCCAGACTGCGTCCAATTCAGAAAGATTTCTGTACGAAGTCAGTTAAAAAACATCTTACTGAGGTCACAATATGACATCTTAGAGAAATCATTTTTAGGAGCTCAAGATTTAGAGCTCTTGATGAATTCATACATAATAAGTCTATTTTTTAACATGAAGTATTTTTTTTGACCTCTTATTGGAATCAAAATTAGAAGCATAAATAAGACTTCAGTTATATGATATCTTACAGTATTCTCTTTTCTTACTTCTTACTGAAATCATATTATTAACTCTTTAAGACGTCAAAATGGAGACGATTACTTTCTTCTCACCGCTGTAACTGCTTGTGTTTGATTTAAGAAGCGGCGTAGTAGAATTAAGAGCGTGCTCCATACCAAACCGTCTTAGACCTAGGTAAACGGCTACCCGATACTGACGAGCTCCAAAAGAGCGAAACAGGCCGTCTATCGGTGCCGGTAAAGAGCAATTAAAATAATAAATTTAAACAAAAGTGAGTCGAAGTAATCGCAATTCCAAAAATAAGCGAATTTAATAAAATCAATTTAACAAATTCGTTTGTTCAATGGTAATTAAACTAGACTTATCAAAATAAGCAACGATCCAGTATGTAATTTTTGCATCAGTACCCTATAGTACTACTACTATAGTAGTAGTACTACTACTATAGTAGTAGTTCTATATCCAAAATTGGAAATTCTAAAGAAGTACAGTAGGACTCTTTAAAATGCTTAATGCTCAAAGAAAGGGTTTCTTAAGAGTTTTTTTAGTCTTGGTTAGTTCGATAGGTGTCGCATTCAAAGTCTTAAGAACTTCTTAAAAACTTCTTTCTGATGTTGTATCTGACGTCCAAATCATAAAATATAGCTTATGCAGACTTAATTAAGACGTGATATTGCTGTCTGGAAACGGAGATAACAAATTTACCAATACCTTAATTTATTGACACTTTATTCGAACAAAAATATATATCCCACCGTGCGAGCGTAGCTCACAAATAAAATTGTTATCCCACTGTGCAACCAGATGTTGGCAACAATAACCTTAAATGTCAAATTTAAGCACACTCGCAAACATGGATCAATTTAACTACAAAAATTATTAATACAATCAGATGTCTGTTACAAGGGTAGTAATGGGGTAGTTAAATTTTTTCTGACCTATACTTTTTATGGTTTTATTCAAGGCGTTTTGTAATTTTAAACATTTCTGTGAAATCGGAATTTCAATTGAGTTTACCGTTTTCGAGATATTTACAAAACAAAATCTCCTAATTACGTCACTAGGCTATTGACAACGTTGCCAGCTTTTTCTATGATTGCCAGTGTGTTTAGTTTAAGATTCTTACGATAGATGGCGTCACGATCTATAATTTTAGTTGAGAAGAGGAAGAATTGATTTTTTGACGTTTCTTTTTTTCGGGTTATGTTTTTTTTAAATTTAGATTATTGAAAATCAATGTTATTGTTATGTTATTTGTAATTGATATTAGATAAGTGATTTATTAATAACGGACTCCAAAGCAGAGGAATCTTGTGGAATGGTTGGTTACATTGAACATTGGAGCTTTTAAACAAATAATAGTATATTAAAGTACAAGTTGCAGAAGGCCACATATTCTCGCACGAATTCGAAATTTGGCCTCGAGCGACGAAGGAGCGAGTGGACGAACGAATGAGTGCGAGAATAGCCTTCTGCAACGTGTGATTTATACTATTTTCTCGATTTTAAGTTTTATTTATGTTTTTTTAATAATTATTGTTTTGTGGTCGTTGTTAGTTGGGGGATTTTTCTCGCAAAATGTCAGTTGGCAACACAAAATGACAGTTGCATGGACAGGTAGATTTATTTTTATTTACTATTTATTAATAATCTGTCTGTATTTGTCAACTGGATAATAAGTTTTTATGTAAGTATTGTATTATTTTTTAATGTTTTCTGATATTTTTGAACAATTGTGTTTACTTTTAGCAGTGAAAAATGTCACAGGAGGTTTTACAAGCAACACCGAACATTACAATAAAAGTTTATAACAATTGTGCTACTGATTAATTTATAGTAGTTTTGTGTACTGTGGGTATATAACATTTCCAAATAAATAGTTTGATTGACATGTTTGGCTCAGTTATTTGTCAATATTTGTTATCCTGCACAAGTACAACCTGAACTGCACTTTTTCACATTAAACTTAATATTTTGCATTAAAATGCATTGTTGGAGCAAACTTAATATTACAAAACAATAATAAAGGCTTCATTTTCAATAAAAGTGTAGTTCAGGTTGCACTAGTGCAGGATAACAAACAAAGCTGTTATAAATAATCCTAAAAGTAATGAATTTGAGGTTATTAAACAGTTTGACATTTTGGGGGTACCAATACTTAAAAACTAAATGTTACCAAAAATCGTTTAAGAATGAGCTTCATTCTTCAACGATTTTTCGTGCGAGAATATGACATTCTTACATAAAAATCGAGAAAGTAAGTACCTACCTATAATTATAATCATATTTTGTCGTAAATGCATTTCATTAGTATAATGCCTAGTTTATATTCTTTTAGATATATTATTATTTTTTGTAAATTTATTTCATTCATTTTCAGCTTTATTTTGCCACTTTTTTCTATGAAATATATTAAACTCTGCTTTAGACAGTTATTAGGTACCTATTTATTACATTTTATTAGGTTTCACACGGTGTTTCAATGTGTAAACCTATCAATAAAACTTTTAATTTCAGAATTTTCTTTAACCTCCTCTTCTTCTTTCACTCAACTGACAGTGACAGTATTTGTACATAACCTCTTCGGGTATTTTCTGACATAACCGAATGAAATCATTAACAAGACAACTTGACAACAGGGTAATTTTCAACCAATAGAAATCTTAGAATGTTGGTCACATGGCGGGGTTTGTGACGTCATAAAAATTTATATTTTTTGTAAATATCTCGAAAACGGTAAACTCAATTGAAATTCTGATTTCACAGAAATGTTTAATATTACAAAACGCCTTGAATAAAACCATAAAAAGTATAGGTCAGAAAAAATTTAACTACCCCATTATTACTTAATTTAATTTGCGAGGTATTGCCGTTACAAAATGTTACAAGTGTTTATACAATACAAGGTTATATTAAGGTTATGTTACTTGGTGAATTTGAGCTGTAATTAACCAAATCCAAGGAATCAGGGCGCAGGCGCAAGAACAATGGGTAAGTTCTATTAGCTCTCCCATGCAGGTTTCAATTTAAAGTGTTTCCTGGGTCCTGTCTTATCCACCATAAACAATAAAGACTTTAGTAGACCATTTGTTTTGGAAATGAAATGCGAACCCACAAAACTTCCAATAAGTATTTTAAACACGGTATTTGATTACAAATATTTACTTGACAAAACTGCAAGCATGCACGATGCTCAACTATCAAAACCAAATTCAATTATCCAATAAAAAAAGGCCTGTTTAAGAAAATAAAGGGATTTGTAAGAAAATATGCTAGTATTATTTTGAAATAAAACTCACCCACAAGATTTGAACCTTTTTTAACAAAATTAATCAATCGATGATAAATAAAGTTAACTTTTAGCATTTAATCACACAAGATTTGTGCCAAGTCAAAATCTTTATCAATGGCCGTCCAAAAGTCACTAGCCCCAGCAATTTAAATTAGTCATTTTTTATCCCAGTGCAGTGGCAACACTGTGACATAAATTTAGCAATATTTATTGTTTAAACCACAATCCACACAACAAGGTCTGTTCTATCTCATGCTTAAAATACAAAAAATCACTGCAACACTGCACACAGTTTAACGTTCTATCTCGTACTAATAATACTAAAAATCACTGCAATACTGTACAGAGTTTAACGGCGGCCGGCCGCGGCCATTTTTGTTGTTTACAATTCTTGTGCTTCAGGTTTGTGCTATTTAATAATTGTTTTAAACGTTGTGTTTCTTACAAAGGCACTTGTGCGCCTCAAATTAATTGCTGACAACCATTTTACCATGGGAAATTAAATGCTCTACAAAAAAAGTCTCCTAACATTTTTGGCTAAATTCACTCAATAAAACTTATTCAAGGTTAAAATTGAAGTCACTTTTCTCAGATCATCAAAACATCTTGGTTTGAGTCCAAGAGTTTGTGGCTTTAATGTTTACATCGTTTTGGCATAGAGGCATCAAGCGCTGCGGTTATCACTTTCATGGTATTTTAACTAGTACTTTCGTTCCTGTTTTGTTTTTTCGTGTAACTCTATTATTTTGCACCCATCCCTTCCTAAGTTTTTCTGGGTCTAGTGTGTTTGGGTTCCAAGCTCTGTTTATTTTAAGAATCTTGGTCTAATGCCTAGAGGCATTACTTTGGCTGACTGTAAACCTGATGAATAGGTGGTTTCCGCTTAAATTTTCTATCACCAATCACCAGCGGCCGCATTCAGTTTGCTAAACTTGACATTAAATATTGTCTCCCGTGGCCGGCCCGCCTAAGTGATGAGGTCCAGGCATGCGGCCATATCAGCCTCCTTCTGTATCTGGGGTTTCAGCGCCCCATTCAGGGTATGTGGCATTGAAATCACCTGCTAGCAGGATCTGGCATGTGAGGTTTCTAATAGTATTCTCTAGGGCCTATCGATTATTATTTATTTTGTTTTGAATCATGAAGGTTGATGGTGATTGTGTCGGGTTCGGTAATAAAATACATTGAGTCTGGAAGTTTGTATGAGTTTTTATGGTTTTATTATTTTGGGAAATATTTATGGCATGACATCGTAGTACCCCTCTCCGCTGTCCGAGCTGTAGGCGCGGTAACTCTCGCTTTCTCCCCCCTCTTTGACCGTTGACTGCCGTGCGATATGCATTAAAGTTTGAGCAATTTTGTTTAATTCTAGATAAGCCTAGAAGAGGCGGTAAATCTTTAAATGCATAGGGTAAGTTTGAGCAAATAGATCTGTGAGGTCCTTAAGTCAAATGTGAGTAACAATTAGTGGAAATTTGAAGATATTTCAACAGCGTGTTCTCCTTTTTTTTAGTGGATTTTCGGTTTTATTGGTTGGGATTGTCACAGGCGAAAGATGTAGTTTGACTACTGTTTGGTTGTTGCGTGAAAAAACCATGGTAAATAAGGGTAAGTAAAAGGAATTAGAATTTTCGAGATACCTAATTGCGTCGTTTTAGGTTTTTATGGCTCAAGTTTTTGTGCTACTTGAGTTTTTTATACGTCGTAGTTTTGGACTGAATAAGTGTAGATGATAACCGATGATGGCAGCACCTGATAGGATTTCCAATATCAAATTCATTATCTGTCAACAATGAAAAGTAACTGACAAGTTTTTCCTGCATTACCGAATAATCAGGTTGTACCTTTTTGATTTACTATATCTGGGAGTAGCTGCACATATTTTAGCATCTACGGAATAACCTTATCGTTATTTAACAGTGAAATTAATGTTTTAACCAACCACCACCGAACATTTAATTTTGTTATAACCTAACTTTTTATTTTTAATTGTCTTAACCATCTCATCTATTTTTTTTGTAAACTTAATATGGCCATATAAAGGGAATAATCACTAGTATAAGAATAATGAATAACTTTTAAAACTAAATAATTATAAACAAAATCAATTTATTGATCCTGATTAAACTAAATATTTTTAATACTGAATTTCTTTAAATACCCTCTAGTCCAGTGCGGTTATGTCTTACTTTCTCGAATAATTTAACAACTGGCTACAACAAGACATTGGCCCCCTAATATAATTTTGTATGAGACAAACTGGTATCAAAAAATAATACTTAGCCCATCGGCCTATCTCTCCGCTGCTAAGCTGTCCTCAAGTTGAGGTTACAACAAACTGACGTAGTATCTGTTTGAGGTTTTAAGCCAAAAGTGGCCGTAACCTCTACCGCACTCAGAATTAGAGGTAGAGGTAGATATCTTACAGGAATTTTAGACCCAGATGGCCGCTGTGCCTGTTAGTAGTAGTAGTTATAGTAGTAGTAGGTCAGAATCCATTGCGAGAAATGCAACCTAAGATAAAAGCGATCGATATTTGCCCCTTTAAGGTCCAAAAAAGCTCGTCTTCTACCTAAAAGTCAGATAGTTCTGGGTTTCCTAAAGGTTAGAAGGAAGTCCCTGGTTTGTCTTCTGCTGCCTGTAGCTCCCCTAGCGTCTAATTTATCCTGTATTTTAATAATTAGTTCAATAAATTTTTGTATAGGTTCGTTTTCAGGGGTGGTAAATTCAGTGCAGACACAAAAGATTTTTCTTTAAAAAATCGCTAATACAAATTCTTAAAAATTTACTCTTAAAAACTGACATATATGTATATATATAGTACCCCTTGTATTTTGTAAGTATGGCGTTTTTGCTCCAAAAATACAGTTTATCAAGATCTACACTTAAAAACAAATCCGGTTAAAATCGCACAATAAATAAAGATTTTACAGGGGTGAGTCTCAAACAAATGTGTAACACTGTGTAACATATTATGATAAAATAAATTTAATTAGTGGATATAATTTTTTAAATTCTCTTAAATTAATTCTCTAATTTATCAGATGTGTATTATATTAACATATTATATTATAATCTTCTTAATAAAGTGCTATCTAACCCATACAATTATTTTTCCGTACAGTGTTTTAGAACTTAAGCCACCTTTTAACACATAATTCCTAAAAACAACGAAAATAAGTATGCAAACCCATTACGACCCCAAATTTCGTTTATTTATTCGAGTAAGGAAATGAATAAATTTACTGGTTCACTTTTAATGGTTAAATGGACGCGCTAAAATACTTTATTTTTTATGCGTGCTTTTTAGACCACAATTAGCGTTTTATAACATTAGGATTTTACTCAAATTACAATGTAATATATATATTTCGTGTCCGAGTGTTTTTATTGTTGCGGAACGTGTTATTAAGTGAAAAAATAACACTGCATTTATTTCGATGATTGATGTTCTGCCACTTAACTCTACCTTTTATTGTGACAGCACGTTTATTTAATATTTATTATAGCAATTTAATAAGTTAGTATATTAAGGTACAAAATTAATTTTTACGATAACGGTAATTTATTCTAATTGCTTATAATTGGTTTACTTAAAACTTTTTCATTGCAGTAATTTGCAGTTATATAAACAGGGTGTCTCGAAAATAATGTGCAATACTTTACAAGCGGTTTTTAGAGCCAAAAATAGGAAAAAGACCTTATATGACCTATAGGTCGGCAAACGGCCCCCAAATGACCTACAGTAGTATTATTTCCGAAAAGATTTAAGAATTATGTAAGTATATTTTTCGATGATAATCAAGAGCACCTTTTTTACGTAGAAAACTCTAAATTTCTTGCAAAAAAATGCATGTTCCCTTTGTAATGGTGTCCAATTCTGACAGTTCTAATATCTTCTATGGCAACAGAATTCGAAAATGAAGAGGACGATCCAGGTTTAATGATGTAAGAAGTTACAACATTATAATGTATACTAATGTATATGTATACTTTTTGTCTGAATTGTTATAATGGGATATAATAAAGTTGTCGCTAAAGCCGCCTTGTACACAGCATTCATTAAATGCTTATTAAAATAACGGCCACCACCATTTTTTAATCCTTATTTTACATATTGAGCAGTAAATTGGTCATTCAGATCCACCCCACCCATATTGGAGTTGTATTCTGCAATAGCATTGGGCATTTTTAGCAAAATAATTATTATTATTCTTTTTCGACTGAAGGTTTGGGTATTCATAAACAGAATATGATCATTACAGTTGGATAAAATTGTTATGTACCACCATTACCATTCCATCTAACGGCTGAAGGTTGACCATTACACAGTATTGTCAATGGCTTAATTTTGGTAATGGAAGGTAATTAATATTTATTCTGTGTATCTAGAAACCATTTGGTGATGGTTTTACCTTCTTTGCTCTATTAGCGGTCCTGTTTGTTGAAGTTTGCGATTTTTCAATTTCTTCTAATATAGAATCGAATTCTAACAACTCATCAGGTGCTTTAAATTCAACTGCAGTTGTGCTTCTCAGTATACGACCTGGTAGATGAACTGGTAGTCCTTTTACTTCAGCGTCTGATAAATCCAAATCTTCATCCGTATCAGCACTAGATGGTTCATAAGGAGGAAGTATTCCTACCGATTTTATATCTTTTACATGTTTAGAACCATAAACTTCTTCACATGCATTCTGAATTTCATCCACAGTAAACAAACATTCCGTCGTCAGATCTAAAAGTGCTTTTTGCATCTATATGGAATAAACATGTATAAACATAAAAAAATAATTTTGGTTAAACTAAAGAAAACAATGTATATAACTTGTTTTTTAACCAAATTATTAACATAATTATTTATTTATAAAGAAATACTTATATATTTTGGAACAAACTAAAATTCACTGCCCCTTTACGCCTACAGAATGCTGTAGACCGTATAAATTGATTATTTAGAACTTTTTTGTACTATCGCTAACAAAAAAAACTCATACAGCTTAAAAATCTAGTCTTCCTGATTTTCTATCATTTCGTTGGAGTAATTATGGCTTTTAACTTGATACGTCACATTTGAAAGGTCTAAAATTAAATACAAAGTTAGGTTGAAGTTTGAAAAAAAAAATAATATTTCGTCATCCCTCTGTTTTTGTCAATTCCTACTGCCCGCAAACGGCAAAGCATGGAAGTCGCCGTCTTGCTTTATCTCGTTCCAAATGGCTTCAATGGCTTGTCAGAGTTCGTCTGCATTGTTTGGTTAAAAAGCAAAGCTCGATGTCAGCTTGACATTGGCGGAAAAGTTTTATTCACACAACCACAATATAGCTGTATGAGTTTTTTTTTGTTAGCGATAGTAAAAATAAACTATTATTATTATTTGTTGAGTAACTTCACCATACCTAACCTATATTACGACTGTCAACTGAAGTTGCCAGTGAGCACTAATAAGGTTAAGCTAGTGTTTTTTGAAAAGGTTGAGGTTTTTTTTGGTTTCTTACATTTATGCATATTTTGCAACCCATATAACTAAAAATATATTGTATGATGAATTTTATATGGAATAAACCTAAGTTTTAATTCATTCGCCAATGGAGAATCTCCATGCAAAATTTCCGCCGTTTCGTATATCCCCAAACTTTTCACATGCCGATAATACATACTCATCCAACTTAAATTTTTCAATGAACCTGGTAACTAAAGATGTAATTAAAGTCATGAAAAAGTTATAATAAATTTACAACTGGTGATGATGGTATTCGTAGCTTTATTGTTAAAGATTGTATATTTATACTTGCAAAGCCTTAATCATTAATTCTTAATATGTGCATTAGAAAATCCACATTTCCACAAAAATGGAAAACGGCCCGTATAGTACCCATTTTTAAAAAAGGCGATAAAACATTAGTTAAAAATTACCAACCTATATCCATAAAAAAATTTCAAAAATATTTGAACAAATGTTATACCTTACTAAATATTTCAATACCAAAAATTTATTAAACCCTAAAAGATTACTAGCATCTACAACAGGTATAAATTAAAGAATACATATATATATATATATATATATATATATATATATATATATATATATATATATATATATATATATATATATAGATATATATGGAGTACCCCACAGCTGGCAGTAAAAGAGCATGTGATTAGTCAAGTATGATTTGAGAACTTTATCGAAATCAGAAGAAAATACTTGACTAATCACATGCTCTTTTACTGCCAGCTGTGGGGTACTCCAGGGCTCCAATCTAGGTCCACATATATTTAATTTGTACATAAATGACTTTCTGGCATCACTCTCTTGTCTTACTTTGTCCTATGCAGATGATATTAAAGTCTATAGAAAATATCTACACCTTTGGATGCTAAATTGTTGCAGCCATTTTCATTATGGTGTACCAAAAATTCATTAAAACTCAATGTTGATAAATGTGGTCACATTCACCATAAAAGAGGTTCATTACTTAAACCAGACTCTTAAAACATCTTTGGCTTCTCCCTGAACAATTTACATTATGTGTGTACCTAATAAACTTTGCCTCTAAGGTACAAATAACAAAGATACCCCCTTGTGGTACCCCTGAAGTAGCAACAAATATATTTACTCGATAACTATTTATTTCAACAAACAGCAAATAGGTAACTTTTAAACATATCATTATGAAAATAAATAAAGTTAAATAATTGGCTATGGTCAATTTAATCAAATGCTTAATGTCTGTGCATATTACATCAACTTGTAAGCGATTATTGTGTTCATCAGCATTTTGCAATTATAGCACATAGTGAGGTGTTTTTCCACAAAGCCATGTTATGAAAAATCGTTTCTTATGACAATAAATCTTTTTGTATAAACTGATTTAATGTTAAATTACATAAAATATATTGGTTTGTGGTTTTTTATGTGAATGGGATCTCAACTTTTCATACTTTTGAGATTGTCCATATATCAGGGGATTTTGTAGGTACTTTCAATACCAAGTTAAAAATAATACTTAAAACTGGATATTTGCTGTTTTCGGATATCGGCGGTAACATAACAATTAGCAAAGTTGTTTGCAAACATATTAACTATTTATGTGCTTCATAAGAAATATTATCATGGTGCATTCAAAGTACGAAATGCCTTTTTATTTAGTATAAATTTCCAGAATTGCGATTAATTAGGTATAATGTTATCTTGAAGATATCTTTTTGCGCTATATAAGTTGCTTAGTTTGTCTTCTCATATTAAGATATTATTTTTTTAAAGTAATTCGATTACTTTCTAAATATTGTTGCTTGTAAAAGCATTATTAACCCACTTTAAATTTTTTGTTATTATCTTATGAAATGAACCTACTTATTTTTTTATTAAATGGCCGTTAGGATGCTGGGGCCCGACTGCCGCCGAACAATATGAAGTTTCTTGTGAGCAGTGGATGAGGGATCACTATCAGAAATTGCAACGGGGAATAAAAACCAGATAAGACCCCTTTCGAAAAATAAACAAGACATTTATCACGAGTTTGTCGCTCTTTCAGCAGCCGTTATTCCATGTGAATCGAAGAACATCAAGTCGGTTATTTTCTATGCCAAACGATTAACCGAAATGGTGCTTTGTTAGGAATCAACATTTCCGCCGTTGTAATTTTATTTTTATTATGAATATTTAACGTATTTAGAATTAAGAGATCATATCTTCCAATTTTCAAGTTATTTTTAAAAACTTTTTGTGTATCAAAAGACATTGTTTTAAAATATGCCAGCACGACATTTTCGGTGATAAGAGTAACTTTTTGATCATTAGTCCACAGGCAAAAGTTCGAGTATTCTTTATCATACTTTGGCTTAGATTTTTCAGGAAGTAAGTTATTTACCACATTGCTAGCTATTTCCCGCAATTCCCGAATTCTTCGTCTGTTTTAATAATCTCGTCCATTTCCATATGTAGGTATGTAAATTATAATTTACAAGAAAAATATATAAACATAAAATAAAACTAGTTTTAATGTTCATTTAATTTTATTGATAAATTAAGATCGAAATAGACAAAATACTATGAAAAACTCGTGTTACAATGACTTATTTTAATACTCGTACTATTGCCGGTATCACAATAAGGGTCATTGTAACACTTGTTTTAGTGAGAGATATTACATTTATTTTTTATATCACTATTTAGACTCTAAATTTTAGAGGCAAACGGAGGCTCATGGGTAACCATAAAGAAAAATGGGTCCAACCTGTCTAGACATAAAGTTTTTGAGGAGTTTGATTGTTGACTTCGTTGTTAAATAGCAAGTGTCATTATTAGTTATTTGTTCAGTTATAGTTTCGCAAAACTCCAGTCGCCGGTCAAAATCGTCCTTATTTAATTCATGGACTAAATAAATCTTGTAAGGACGAAATTGATGAGATCTAAGGTTTTGTTCGATGGTCGTTTTAAGAATGTTGGTAACTGTAGCTAATTTCATCATGCTCAAGTTGGATCAGCAACAACTTATCCTCTTTCCTGATTAGACGTATACGTTTAGGTCTAAAGATAAGTTTTTTGTTCGCTACTGACTTCGCCACCAGCTCCAAAACGAATTTTTTAATCACATGCTTATCCGGATGTTGTTTATTGATTAAATCTGCAGCATGATTTCCGCAATCACTATTTTTTAAAAAAGGATGATCATTTTAATTTATTTCAAAATACGGTAAACCACTGTTAAATGAAACTGAACTAATTTTGTATACTTAAAAGACGGGGTACCGGGCAGAACGGTGTTTTATTTAAATTTCACGCTGCAGACGTACTATCGTCCTTTGTTACTAGAAGGCCAACACGTCAGTTGGTAATGACAAACGGGTTACTACAAACGTTTTAGTGTGTTTTAGACTAAACTTGATGAAATTTTGTTTAGTTTTATAACTTTTCGATATATATAATGTATATACCCATTTTCAGCTTTATTTGAGGGTTGTATTTTATGCACACAGTGCCAAAAGTGGGCTCACAATTCGTGTGCGGGGATAGAGAGTGATAACAACGATGCAGAACTTGTCTGTGAATTGTTTAAGCCCGATAACCCTATTCGGCCCCGTAGGCAAGGCGGAATGGAGTAAATTACACTTTTTTTAATACGATAATAAAAAAAATCTATAAGTATTTACGTTAATTTTTTTTTGTATTTTGTTTATAATACTTTAATAAATCGTTCTGCTTTTTTTTTAATTTGTACCATGTCTCTACCCTACTAAAAATAATTTTTAAAGGTTAGAGTCCCCATTCCGCCCCGGTCTCCCCTACGCTGTGGAACTTCAATTTTAAATATTCCGAAAATTATGGAATAGAATTTTGTATGATACTTAGTAGAGCAACCCTTTTAAATTAGATATCAATTTACCCATCATTACTATTAAAATGTTAGGTTGTGACTTATGCGCGAAGGGGTGAAGCGATTTGCAAGTAAAATATAATAAAAAACTGTCCCCCTAGAAACTAAAGGTATTTTTTAGTTTTTTAAAAATCACTGCTCACTCTTCTGTTTCGTTTTGGTTTGGCCACCCTGTGGTTAATTGAATAATATTTAATATTTATTTTTTAAACAAATTATATACTTTATTTATATAAATACAAAATATATTTTAAAAAGGATTATTTTAAGTAAATATTTTACCAAAGCTTTATGTAATTACTCATACCTTAACGTGCATGTGACTTCACAGATGTGTTCACATAAATCTATAATTTAATATAGCATTTGTTTGACTAATTTATTACAAAATTATTTTAATAGGAAATAGAAATTTATTTTATGTATTGTTTTAGTAATTATTAATGCAAACATATAAATATTCAGATTAACTAAAAGGTATTAAACGCTAACTGAAGTTATTATTGTTTTAAAATATGATGTGATATGTGAACATTTATTTTATGTTTGGATGGGCCATTATAAAATTTAAATAATGGTTGAAAACGTAATAACGTAACAGTTTGTCAGACATCAATGACTACCAATATAAATGCATATTTTTCCATGTAATATATTAAATTTTGGTGGATTGATTCATTTAACCGAACGTTATATTACATAAAATATTTTATATTAAATTTTGTAATACCGATAAAGGTACATTTTATAACAGGCAATTTAAATTTTTGTTCTTAAAAATTACATGTTCCCCAAGCATGATATGTGTATTTTAGTCATGTAGTATACTTAATTGCATTTTGCCATTAAAAAATCGATATTGTTGTAACAGTAAGTCATCCAAAATTGTTAAGGGTGCCTAATATCACACCACGTGAAAAACAGCTACCTATTACCAAAATTATTTTTTTTGTAAAAATGGTTTTTTGTATTTAACAGGTAAACCTAGCACCTGAGCACATTACTGCTTAAAACAAAAATTGTTGGGTTGACTAGCCGCCTTTGGATCAACATAGCTCTTAAATACTATAGTATACCCTTAAATATATTTATGACTTACATATAAACTCTATGTATTTAACGCAGAAAATACATGTATCCATGTATGGATATTACTTTAATGCATATAACATATATTGTGTCGGGATTTTGGCGTAGAATTTTTTTGGAAAAAATAGGTTTAAGGTAATTCAGAAATACGTGTGATAATTTTAACTAGTGAAACGTTTTTTCTATATTACATTTTGCGAAATTCGTACTTTTTTATATTTATTTTCCCTTCAACAATTATAATTTCCAATTTTACTACCCAAAAATTAACAGCAACACCTCCGTGACCATGGCTCATTTCAGCGCCTAGCGTATAACGGTGGTAGAAATCGTTGTCGCTAAATTGCGAATGTAAAAGAAAATATTTTGGATGCCGTTGCAGCTGATCCAAGTAGAATTTTACATCAGCATGATAGCTCACAGTTTACGGTATAGATGATTTTAAAAACCCAGCTGTTCCATCCTTGTACAAAGCGTCCAGTTTTTGCAACCCGGTAATGCTTATAGACGCACATTCTGTGAATACGTGTTGAAAAAAATTAATATGCAACCAAATTTTGTGGATTGTTTGTTTTTCACCGATAAAGCAGGCTTAACTAGGGAGGGAATATTTATTATTCACAATACTCATGATGACTGATGAAAACCCATATGCAACCAAAAAGCAGAATTTTCAGGAAGAATTGTCCATGAACATATGGGCACTGCCCATTGGGCAGGCATTTTAAATGGCAATTATTTAAACAATACATTCTACCACCAGGCCTCAACGCTGAGCAATATTGAATTGTTGGAGCCCCCATCTTTTTGATATGCTAGAGGACATACCGTTAGTAACCCTAAGAAATTTATGGTATTTGCATGATGGTGCTCCATGTCACAATGCTCACTCATATCGTTGGGAATTGGCTAAACATCAATTTTTCGTAACAATGGATCGGAACATAAGGTCCTGTTACATGTCCTGTCAGATCGCCGGATCTTAACACCTCGTCACCTGAGAATTATAGTGTTCTATCTGCATTTTTTTTTTAATTGAAGTTTGTCTTGTTTTGAGTCTTAAAGATGCATATTGTTCTAACTATATATAAATGGGGTAAAAATTGTACAGTTTAAGCCTTAAACTGTACAATTTCTACCCCAATTATATATAGATAGAACAATATGCATCTTAAAGACTTAAAACAAGACTAACGACAATTTAAAAAAAAATGCAGATAGAACACTATAATTCTCAGGTCCTGTGATATTTTCTTGTGATGCTCTATGATGCAGTTGGTGTAAGCCACCACAATTGAAACTATTGGTCGACTAGGGGTTTGCATTAAAGATACTGTTGCAACTAGGGTTGTGGAATTGACCGGTCAAATTTTTTTTGGTCAATTGACCAGTCAATTGACCGGTCAATTGACCAAAATAAAATTAAATAAAATATTAAAATAAATATTACTGTGATTTGTTTGTACTTAATAAATAGGTAATTAAAATACGTTACCAATTTTTTTTTTATTATAAATGCACGATCGCAAAAATTTTGAGAATCACGGGTAATTGTTTATACCTAAATAAAATGCTGCAAAAATTAAATATATTTTGACCGGTCAAATAGGTAGCGGTCAATTGACTGGTCAATTGACCGCGGTCAATTGACCATCCCCAACTCTAGTTGCAACCAGGGGCGTGCTGGCTGAATCAATGCAGGCCTGGACTAGATGGTAGAGCAGTCCAGGCCCAAGCCAATTTCATATAAATTGTAAAAATTCATTACAATTAAATACCTCTACTGATAAAACGTCCCGTATTAAGTCACAATCTAAACCATTTTGCACCTTTCTCTTCACAGCAATCAGCATTAAAGCTTCCAAATTCACGTCACTTCACACTAATATTAAAGGATTAAATCATTCATTCATTTCTCTATAAATTCGAGCTGATCCCCCCTTCCGAAAATTTTATAAATTTACTAAAATTGCATTTTATCGAAGTGGCCCCGGATAAGTTTGGATTTTCAAAAAAACGGAAAAATAATTACGAAAGCATCCAAAATATCCCCACGGTTTAGGGTTTCCACCTGCGACTTCTTGGTTAAGGGTTAGCGTAAAAAATATGTGTTTTACATTTTTTTACTGGAGTCAATTAAAACTTTCTTTTTTTTTATTTATTTTAGTGTTTAGTGATATAACTTGAAAAAACTTTTTGTTTGGTATAAAAATCTTTTTTCTATTTGCATACAATAACAAGTCTAGCAGACCACCATGGTAGCGCAGGCCACCGGGCGTTCGCCCGGTGTCCCGGCGGCCCAGCACGCCCCTGGTTGCAACTATAAGAATTGATAAACGAACATTCATTGTGATAAATTTATTGTTTTCTATGTATTTTTTATTTTAATTTTTTTTACTTATTATTGTTAATGATAATGTGAAACTTATGCCAGGTTGCGTCTATTTTTTTTGTGTTGCACTGTGTAATAAACAAATCAGATTGTGGCATGCATTTTCAATTTTTCCACATAATTGCAAATGGCATATGTGTCATTGCAACAAGACGTAACGATGTGTTTGTTTTAACAAATAACAAGGTATGAATTCTATAGCAACTAAAATATTCACTGTATTATGGTTTACCATAGGCGGGTAAAGATTTTAGTAGGTTTCCTATTCATGTTTGGAGAGGTTTTAAAAAATGCTATTGGGAAAAGTTGTTCAACTTGATGAGTTATGTCACTGGTTTAAATTATTACACGTATTTCTAAATCACCCTGTATAAGATATTTTCATTTTCGAAATTGCTGCGGATTATTCACACCCAAAGATTTTTTTTTTAAATCAACTCAAATTAACGGAAAATATTTTGAAAAATTTGTAAATTTAATATGCAAAATGATTTTCTCTTATAAATATAAAATCGTATTGTTAAAATGTAAAAATAGTATAATATGAAGCTTTAAAATACTGCTAATTACATTTATAAGTAATAAAGTATGGATTAAAAAAAATTGGTAAACAATGATGTACATCATTGTTTACCAATTTTAGGATAAGAAATTATATTAATTTAGAATTATTTAAAATATAATCAAAGTAAAAAGCCGTTTACATAATACGTCACAAAACGTACCACCCCCGCCCCTAGTAAAGTCACAAATTTAAAAATATGATTAAACATTTGTAAGTCTAACTTGACGTCGCACTTTGTCATAATTTGTTGTAAATAGTCAAAACAAAGTTGATTGTTGCGGGGCAGGTGAAAAAAGTGAGGTTAAGAGTGGAAAAAACCCATCCAAAAACAGGAAATTGATGAAAAAAAGATGAAGAACATTGTTAAGGAGTTGTTTAAAGGGTATATGGATCCCTTAAGTAGAACACTAAAAGAAGATAAGGGTGAACTGAAAAAGTCAGGGCAGTACATGTCTGACGGGTTTGATAAACAATTAAATGCAATAAATAATATTCTAAGAGAAATAAAGCAGTTAAAAGAAGAAAACAATTTCCTGAAGCAGGAAGTGGAAATGCTGGAGAATAGACTAAACAACACTGAGCAAAAGGAAAGTGTAAAAAACTTAGTGGTTACTGGGATTAAAAAAACAAGAAATAACAGTTCAAAAAATCATTACGAAACTTAAAGTTGATGTAAACCATAATTAAATTTTATATATTTACCGTATAAATACAAGGATAGACTCCCCTTTATTTGTTAAATTCCAAAATACAAGTGCAAAACAAAAAAATTATTAAAAAGGTGAAAGAGCTTAAAGGCATCAGAGTCAGAGAATGTGGACTGGTGGATGAAAATAAAAATATTTATTTTAACGATGGCGATAAAACTGTGGCAAACAAAAAACAAAAAATTACCAGAGGACCAAAACTTAAATATCTTGTATACAGTGTGTATTAAAACGAATAGATACACTTAAATAAAAAAAGTGCCAAACCCCGCCCACTGTGGTAGGGATTGAATTTGTTTGCTTGTCGTATCATTGTCGTATGATCTGTGCGTCAGTTTAAGAAGTGCACTGAGACTTTGCGTACGTCTTTGTAATTATAAAAAAGTATTTTCTCAAATAAAATGGTTTCTACCCGTGAGGAAAAATACCAAATTATGGTATGGCATCACACTGGTAGATCGTATCGCCAAATACAAACTTTATTTCAAAATATGTTTCAAAATAGGCCTTTACCCAGTGTAGCTACAATCCAGAGGATAATGTACAATATTCGAACGCATGGGTGCCTTTCGCCGCAGAGAATTTATAGGTTTTATTTTTATCGAATTCGTTTGTTTTGTTTTAATGCATTTCTGCAAATAAAATCTAAGTATTGTTTAAAATCAATTAAATTCCAGTTAATGGCGAAAATGTATTTCTTCAAAACTATACACATTTCCCTACGACAGCTTCGAAGCTACTGCCCTTGTATCTGGCTTCATGCCGCGCTGTTGCCATATGCTATTATTGTTTCCTAAAAGGGTTGTTTTTCTTATTTTTTAATATTAAAAGTAAGAAAATTAACTAAATCAAATTATTTTTGACATATTATTAATTTTTTTGTTATTTTTAAAGTTTCAAACAAATAAAATTGAACTATTTATTAAATAATTATAATCGTTCTCTTCTGATTTAAAACAACCTGGCAACTATGGTTCGTAATTACGAATGGCTTGGTTTAAACCACGCCCAATTAAAGTTTGTTTCTTTTTCTCTGATCAGAATATAATTTTTCATCCTTGTCTCCAGCCTTACTTACTTGATTCTATACCGTCTATAAACATTAGACGCATTAGAAATAAGGTGAACGAAATTAATGATTTAATACTTCAAAACACTGCAACTATACATCTTATAGTGCTTTCAGAGACATGGATTTATCCAAATGAAGTAAGCTGCTTCAACTTACGAAAATATGCAGCTGTCCATAATTGTAAAGAAACTCGTGGAGAAGGCTGTAGTATTTATATAAGAGAGGAATTACAATTTGTACAAAATGACAAGTACGATGTACAAATAGAAGAATTCAATATTGCATCCTTCTATTTACCAAAATATAAGCTGTCTATGGTATATACAGACCGCCGCAAAGTAACGGGGAAGTTTTTATAACAGAATTAGAAAGGCTACTTAAAAAAACAGAAAAACACATGTATTATAGTCGAAGATTTTAATTTAGACTTATTAAAATACTCTCAAACTATTAATAACTACAAAACACAATCAAAATTAATCCTTTTAAAATCCAAAATGGTATAATGCCAATGTGATAACAAATAAAAGCTTAACCTGTAAGATTAAACTAAAAGACCACTACCTCTCAGATCACAAAATAATGCATATATAAGTGAAAAAGGAAATATATAAAAAGAAAAAATTAAAAAGCAACATCTTATGGAGAAAAAAATTGTCTGGACAGTATGAAAATAAAAATGGAGGAAAATGAAATAAAAACATTTCAAGAACTTGCGCACATTCTTAATAAAAATAAAAAAGATTGTATAAAAGAAAAGACAATAAAAATTAAACACTAAAAGAAAAAGACAAACTGTATGTTCGATGGAAGAGAATACAAAATAAAGACGGTGACAGAGAATTTAAAAAAGTTAAAAATGCACTAAATAATCTAAGAAAAAAGCTACAAAAAACATACGCAGAGAGAAAGTTAGAACAAGTCAAGGGAAACCATAAGATAACCTGGGAAGTTATAGATGAGATCTGCAATCGTAACAGAAACAAAAATAAAATGAAACAGGAATAACAATAGAAAACAATAAATATATGGCAACAGAATGTAACAGACATTTTGCAAAAATAGGGGAAACACTGGCAAGGAAAATAGTACAAAACCAATTGCATTTTAAAGAAGAAAACAGATAAAATAAATTAACTAAAAAATAACTTTGTCCCAGGAATAAACATAATTATAAAAAAAGACCTATTAATGCTAATCAATTTCATTGGGCACATTTTTGTTAAGTTTTGTTAAACAACATATTGCAAACTGGAAATTTTTCAAAAGAACTTAAAGCAGCTAAAATTATTCCAATCTTTAAACAAGGAACGCATGATGACATGAATAATTACAGGATAATTTCATTAATAAGCACTTTTTCAAAGGTTATAGAACAAATTATCAAGAAGAGACTAACAACATTCATAGAAAAAACATTTAATTTTGACAACCAATAATATGGATTAAAAAAAGCAGTACTCGAGGAGCAAAGGTAGATCTATTAGAACATATAACCAGCGAATTAGACAAAAATAATTAGGTAAACGCTGTATTTGTTGACCTACAGAAAGCTTTCGACATAGTAAATATTAAATTTTTGATGAACAAACTATTTAAAATGGGCTTTCGTGGCACATGTCACAATCTATTGAAATCATACTGATAGAAAGCATTACACTGTAGTAAATGGTGAAAATAGCGAGGAACAAAGATTAAATACGGGTGTTGCTCAGGGCTCTAATCTCGGACCACTGCTATATGTGCACAGTTTAAAATACACCAAATTAAAAAAAAAACATATTTTAAATTTGCAGACGACACAGTTCTAGTATATTCTGGGGAAAGTGGAAAACAGCTTGAAGAGACTGTTAATGAAGATTTAAAACTGGTTGTGTCACAATAAACTATCTATAAATGTTCAGAAAAGAGTATTTATGGTTATCAAACATAAAGGTAAAACACCATGCAATTCTCAAATAAATAAGTAATTTTTTTTAAATAAAGGAATTAAAAGTAATAGAGCAAACAAAACTAATACAAAACATTCAAAATAGTCAGGGTACGTGCTGCACGGGGCGGCAAAAATCGAAGGGCGGCAAAAATTAAAGAGGTGCACAAATCGAATAGCGGCAAAATTCGAAGAGCGTCAAAAATCGAAAGGCGGCAAAAAGTTATCGTACTATTATTTCCCATTTTTAAATAAAAAAGCGGCTTTCTTTATAATAGAGCCGACAAAGGATCAATGGCACGAGCCGCAATGTGCGGTTTCTTTTGATTTATCAGGATTTCGCTTTGTTTTTAGGCAAACTTATAAATTATTTTAGTTGATATTTAACTTATTTGTGCAATTGTAAACTACCTATTTGAAATTTAATAATTTGAAAGAAATAGACATTTTCGAGGACAGCGTTCCGGTTCCTTTTACTAACCCGGTATGGGACTATAAAATTATGACAAAATATTAAGTAGGTGTTGCGTCGCCGACGTTATGTTGACAACGCTTTGTTGCTATGGTATTTTTGGTAAAAAAACAACAGTTTTTATAAGCTGTCAAAATGTTTATCATAAATTTGAAATTCTTCCTACGTTTTAAAAATGTTCTAGCGAAGAAGACCTGCCGCAAGATCTTGCTAAAGAGGCAAAATAGTTGCAATTAATTTCCTTCCTTAAAAATCGAAAGAGCGATATGTATGAAAATGAATATAGTTTGTTCAAAGAATGGTTGTCCATGGACAAGCGCGGAGTAAATCTTTTTCTTACAAAATCAAATAGGGCTAGACAAGGTACAAAAACTCTTGCTAATGAAAAATTATCGGTAAAATTATTTAAAAAAGAGGGAGAAATTTTTTTTTCCTCCCGGGGAAGCAAGAGGCATTTTCCTCCCTTGCTCGGGGGTGGAAAATTAAGTTTTCTAGTAAGGTGGTAGAAAAAAATATTTTTGCACCTGGTACTACGTTGTCTGGAGCCGGGCCTGGTGTTAGGACTTATTTTGTTTATTTATTTTGGAATAACTTTAATTATATGTTAATTATTATTATTATTATTATTGTTAATTTTTAGGCATTGGTGCCAGTTTTATTGTAAACTTTTTGAGGTCAATAATAAATTATTATAAAAAATAAAATAAACTAAACTAAACTAACCCCGTAAACTTTTGGGTCAAAGTATTACCTATATTATTTTTTTTTATATTTTAATAATAATAATAATAAATGTTCTTTATTGAAAAAAATACATCAGTTCGGCTCCAGCTCTCGAGAAGACGAGTCGCGTCACGCGGGCGAGCTCTTGAAACGTAAAAGTTTAAAGATGAAACCAACAATAATTAAAAAAAAAGGGGTGCGAACTGATAAGTGAAACAAACATTTTCATGGAGTGCAAGCTAAATGGTGTAACGGTCATTGAGGAGTGGAGTGTTGGGTGATATGAATGACTTGGGTGCCACCTGTCATTGGAGGCTTTTCACTGGACGGACGGGGGAGGTCGGAGAAGAGGGGAGGTGGCCATCCGCAAGGGGAAAAATCTGATAAGTTTTACTTTAAGAGTATGCATGACCTGATACAAATCTGCAATATAAATACGGCAAGCATTTTCCGTTATTTATCACCATTAACATTGCCCGTATTCATTTCATTAAACATAACATTTATTTTACTTGAAAATGTTAAAATAACTTTAAAATATGATTATGTTAAGAACTTTAAACAATTGTTTTGTTTTTAATTACTATCATTGCAAAATTGTATTAAAAAGTGTTAAAAATTCTTACACGGGCAATGTTAATGGTGTTAGGTATCGTTAAAGTGTTTATTGGGATATCTTTAAAACCCATGAAGGGCACGCGGCGTGGGGCAATAAGTCTGTCAACAGCAAATGCGTAAGGCGGTCCCAATCGAGACCGAAA